TAAGTGAGAAAAAGCAAGCTGCAGAACAAAATGTATGATATTTACCTATATGTATGAAAATAATATATGTATTTGTGTATATATATCAATATATCTATATCTATCTATCCACACACACACACATATATATAGTTTTTGGAATCATGCACTAAAAGAATGGTTATCCACAATTATCTCTGGGGAAAAAGAGTAGGGGTTGGGCAAGGAAGACTTTAATTTTCATTTTACTCTTGTCTGTTCCATAAGGTTTAAACTTTTAAACCAATCTTTTGTGAGAAAAAAATAGTATGTCAAAACCTTAAAATATCTATATAACTTTTGATTCAGAAATTACACTTCTTAGAATATATCCTAAGAAAATAATTATAAATAATTATAAATTAGGTAACAAGATACTCACTAAAGTACTAATAGAATAATAAAAATATGAAAAAATATATAAATATTGATTAATAGGGAAAAGCTTAAATAATACACAGGCATTAAACATGTTTATAAAGATTACATAATAATATAAAAATGATTATTATATAATATTAAGATGAAAAGCAGAATCCATCTTTAAAAAATATGAAAACATATATTATTAAGTCCTAAGATTAGAAATAAAATGCCTGGCCAAAGGTTGAAAGTGATTTTTTGTGAGTGATAAGTCAATGGGTAATTTTTCAAAACTACTTTTTTTAATATGTTTGGAATGTTATTTCATGTGTATGCATTAGTTGTTAATAAAAATAAACAAACATTAATAAAAAGACTTAGCACATATATTGGCACTTAACAAAGATAAATGGTCTCAAACCTTTCCATCTAGTGTTGAACCCACCCTAATAAAACGATAATAAGGAAATATTTTTAAATTATAGATGTCATCGAGTCAAGAATATGTTTCCTAATGTATTTGAGAAAAATAATGAACAATACATTTTTCATTTCACAAATCCTGAATGGCGTGGTCCATGCCATGGTGGGGTCTTGAAAAGAGTAGCTTGCGCTGCCCTTTCTGAGTTGGCAAGGCCCCAGAGGGAGAGCTGCTGGCAGGGCCCCAGCTACCAGCACTTGCTTTCACTGTAAAGATCTCTGCCTCGGCATAGTGGTGCGGCTTTCACTTTCTCTTTTGAAGTTTTGGTCAGTGTGGCAGTTTCCTGAGTTTCCAAAAGATGCAAAACATGACACACAAACAGTTGTTGTCATAAAATTAGATTATTCCACAAAAGATCTGGGAAGATTGAACAATTCCAAACTGTCCCTTTTGAGTCAATTTATTACACCAACGGGTATTTTAAAAACACCTTATGAGTAGCCATGAGCAATTGTTTTTACCGAAGAAACTAATAAACAATAGAAATCCCCATCCTCTTCCCACCATCTGGGTAAATGATTATATGGGTTATAAAACGGGAACAGGAAAAATGTGGTACCCTCCTAGAGGATGTCCGAAATATGACTTAAGTTGGCAAATGTCATTTACAGGGGATTACATTAATGGTAAGAGAATGGTTGGAATGAATGGAAAAAGATATTATGGGAAGAATTAGGTTTATGAGAAAGAATGCGTAGAAACCCTGTTACTCATTGGTGTCCTAAGTTAAATAAAAACATCTTAGTAAGATATTGGGACAAAAACATATGATGCACAACTTTCCCTCCTAAAGATAAAGATTATAGATGGAATTTTGAATGCACCTGGTTTTGTGAGGGATGGTGCTGTGCACTTTGACAGTTTACGTTGGGCCACACAGCCGTTATATTAAGTACATGCATAATAAAGCTGTTCAAATATCCTTTATTCTTTTTCCAAATGAACAATAGGTTCATGCTTATAGAAATATGAGAATCATTAAATTTTGAGTTGATTATAAGTTTAGTTGTTAGATTTATAAGTTTTAAATGTAATTGTTAGAATTTTCTTTTACAGTATTTAAAAGTTAACAATATATATAAGGTTGGTTTAGCTAATTTATGTTTGCTGATAGTAATAAGTTTAAGGTTAGTACGAGGGCAAGAAGAAAAGAACACAGTGGTGAAAAACATCAAGAACAGTGAGTCACGGACTAATCGACCACAACAGATATAATCACCAGAAAGAACTGGCTGACCATCGAGTTTTATTTAACCTTGTGGATTATTAATTTTATGAGAACTGATGTAATTTTAAGAAAAGTTTCCATTTAACTATTGGTTTAATAATTTTAAAAGTTTATGTAGTTAAAATGCCCACATTAATACCCCCGTGTTGTGTAACAAATAAAAATGCTGTTTTCAGTCTGAAGGCTGCTTCAGCTGCTTTAGCTGCTCTGGCTGCTCTGGCTGTGACAGCGCTGACAGCCCGCAGGGTGAGAACGTGCTTCAAAGCAACCGAGGTCTCTGCCTGTGTTTGTTATTTTCGCCAGCTCCTCATCCCTTTTTCAAGGACCCCCAACTCGACTGGAGCTGGTCTCTGGCACCAGAAAAAATAAAAACTACCTTCTTCTATAATCATAGTCTAAAATTGCAGCTGTTCTACCCATCACCTAATCACAACCTGCATTATATGCATTCTACTTTACAAAAAGATGTTTACTAGCATAAGTCCAGGTAAACAATCTGCAGTAGGAATGAAACTAATAATAATAATGTCAATGTTACTACTGAACTTCAACACTATCACCTGTTTATCAGTTTGCCAAATTGTGCAAACTTTCTACATTATATCTTATATGTGTCAGAATTTAATAATAACATCAAAGATTTTAATTATTTTATGAAAGGGTTTCAAATATATTTTAACAAGAATCTTGATTCATATATGGTAAAATCCTTTTTAAAATGTCTGAAGTATTTGTGTTATAATTCTAGGGTGGGGATTGACAAACTTGTTCTGTAAAGGCCCATGTGGTAAATTCCTAGGGCTTTGTGGGCCTTTTAAAAATTTAGAAACCATTCTTAGCTTCAAAGCAATACAAGAAAACACAGCACTGGGCCAGATTTGGCCCATGGCCAAAGTATGTCAAACTCTGCTTGTTCTAGAGTTACTTTCAACAACTTATTCAAAGGTAAAATCCCTTGCTACTCCCACTATGTGCAATGTTTTTTACCTTCCTGCATCCCACCTTCAAAATTTAATCTAATGTTTAAAGTCTTTCTCAAACGTGGTCTTCATGAGAATTTTCAAGATGTCTTCAACCAATGGGATATCCCTTCCTTTGAATCCCCATAGCACTTTATAGCTTTTCTGATTTTACAAATGACTACTGATCTTTGTCTAGTGTTGTGCCAAGCTTTCCTCTTAATGTTTTTGGGGAAGAACCCACTCCCATGTGTTTCTTACTGACTATAGTGCCTTGCACATAGTAGAACTCTAATAATAATGGTTAAATTAAAAGACAACTATTCAACATCGTCAATTCCTAGAAGTAGGCCTTAGTGGTTTAATAATAGCTTTTAAGGTCCTAAAAGAAACATAGACATTGAAAGTATTTGTAAGTGTTTAAAACACAGCTCGACTTTAGTAGTATTAAAATGTAAAAACAAATGTTATCTTGGAATGAAAATAGTGTCCCTCACACATTGGCAAGGGAAAAAAATGAAAGACAGCAGTGAAAGGACCATGGAACCAGTTACAGGGAGGTCACAGTATGCTATGTGAGAGGCAGGTTCCTGGCAGGCACAATTTTACTGTCCACAGGACACAACTCACATTTCATTGTCCTCCTAGAGTTGAGAAAAAGCATCAGACCTCTCATGTGTCTTAAGTACTGGGGCTTGATTGTCTGCCACTCCTTGATGTGGTTTGGATATGTTTGTCCCCCAAAAGCTCATGTTGAAATCTGATCCTTACTGTGGCAGTGCTGGGAGGTGTTTGGGTCATGGGGGTGACTCCTTCATGAATAGATTAATGCATGGGGGTGGGGTGCATGAGTGAGCTTTCACAGGAACAGATTAATTAGTTCCAGTGAGAGCTGGTTGTTAAAAGGAGCCTAGCACCTCCTCTCTCTCTCTCTCTCTCTCTCTCTCTCTCTCTCTCTCTCTCTCTCTCTTGCTTCTTCTTGCCATGTGATCTTGCACCCAGAAGCTGCTCAGCCACTTGCCACCAAGAGTAGAAGCAGCCTAAGGCCCACACCAGATGCAGCTGTTCCAGAATCATGAACAAAATAACCTTTTTTCTTTATAAATTACCCAGTCTTAGGTGTTGTGTTACAGCAATATGAAAACAGACTAATACAGTCCTTACTATTCCCATGTCAAACAGAATGATTCTATCCACCCAAGAAACCCAGAGATCAAGAAGTAACTCCGTTTCAAAGAAGGATTCAAAATGAAATTTGAAATTTCTTTCAAAATTTTATATTTTTATCTGAATCTAAATTCCTGTTACACAGGTACAATAGGAAATCTTTAGAAACTCTGGAACCACTTAGCCTAAATTGAAATCCTAGGAATTCACTTTATTAATTGTATAATCCTTGGTGATTTACTCAACCTCTTCAAGCCACAATTTTTTCATCTGTAAAAATGAGATGACAATAATAGAACCTAGCACATGGAGAGACTGGGCTGTTGTGAGGCTGCGATGAGCTAATATATGTAAGTGTTTAGAACTGTGCCTGGAACACAGTAAGCACCTACCAATATTAGCCATGTATATATAAATGCATATATAGCTAAGAATAAATAGCATTGCTAGTATTAAATAACCTCTAAAAAGCCACACATACCCTTGCCTTTAGACACGTATTGTGTTTTATTTGATTCTTGAGATAAAATGACCATAGGAAGGAGTTTACAGAAAATAGGAAACAGGCTATGTAAGAATTACCCTGTTATTTTTAAATGCCATAGAAGGAAAACAGCAAGATGAAGATACATGTATGATTATGTGACAAGAGAGAAACAAGAAAAATATCAAATGCCCCCAGCATTGTCACAATAGTATTTCCTGATCTTTGGCAGAATGTAATGACCAAAATCAGCTTCCATGCATGGGGACAATGGCGGGTCAACTCAATGGCCATACTTACCACCTTTCTCCACCCCAGGGAGACCTGCCTTTTCGTCCTTCACCTTCGCAGTGCTTCCTTCCCAAAACTTACTCTTATCTTTTTCCTTCTCTTCCTCAGAAACATGTTTCCTAGACTTCTCAGACAAACTCTCTATAATCCCCTGGGTACCTTTCTCCGTTTCTTCTGTAAGAACATTCTCAAAGCTTTCCTCTGTTGGCAGAGGCCTGGGCTCCACACCTGCTTTTGTTATTTCTTGTTCTTCAAGTTCAGTTTTGAAGGATTCCACAATTGCAAGGCGGGATTTTCCTGGCTTATCATTTTCCCTCAACTCCTCAGAAGATAAACTTCTGGGACTTTCATCTGTACTGTTTTCAGCAGAGGCTTCCCTGTCTCCCACTGCAGGGTCCTCTTCACTGCCACTAGAATATGGGTGACTTCTGGTTGAAGCTGACGAAGCAGTTTTTATATCTACAAAAAATTAAAAATGATATTATTTTTGTCTCATAAAGCAAATGGTTTTGTTGTGGGAATTATGTGAGTAATCAATCACATTAAAAACTTTGAGGTATAGTTTTGTACAGTTGATACCCTTTTCCCATATAGTCTGCATAACTGTCCTGATGAAGAAAAACCTGTGGAATTTATGAGTTTATAGAAGTTTTTAACAGGAGATCACATTTAATTGAACATTAACTCTTTTGCTTTTATTTCTTTTTTGAAACCCATTTTATCAGAAAAACTTTGTGAATGTCCACTTTGTTATAGAAAATAATCGTATAATCCTTTGCTTGTACAGCAAGAGCACTTATTTATTTATCCCCATGTATAGCCACAGTATTCCCTGTGCATGGAACTTAAATTTTTATCTACTATAATGTCCACCATCCTAGTAAACCCTGGTATCTGGGTACAATAAGATCTATGCATTTGCACAGTACCTAGACATTTAATAAACATTTTTAGGTGATGCTTGTGTGTGTGTGTGTGTGTTTAGGAAGAGATTTTGTCTTATTCAAGTTTTGCACAGTACCTAGACATTTAATAAACATTTTTAGGTGATGCTTGTGTGTGTGTGTGTGTGTGTGTGTGTGTGTGTGTGTGTGTGTTTAGGAAGAGATTTTGTCTTATTCAAGTTTCCCAGAAGCAGATGCTGAGATGAAGATTCATGTGCAAGTCATGTATTAAGGATGTGCTTCAGGACAAACTTAAGGGAGTGGGGGAAGCAAGGCAAGGAAGGGAAGAAATCGATCAAGGGAGTTATTTCAAACAACATCTCAACCTCAGCCTGATCCCATGGGGACCTCTGGAGTATGAGTTATATTAGAGGATGTAGTTTACAGTAGGAAGGAGCTGGGCTTTCATACTTTGGAAGATTCAGACTTTGGCTACAGGCCACGATAAGGGAACATAAACTCTTCTGCATTTCCACGGTCCTTGTGCCAGAGGGTGAAGCAATTCCAGTAGCCCAGGGCTGTCCTCTGTAGAAGGTGGAAGGTGTGGAAGCTGGGAGATGGGCACAGAGTTGGTAAAGAGATTCTAGGAGACCTAGGCAGTATGCTGAGGTGGTGCTACAGATATGTAATCTAGAAACTTAGTAGTGGTCAAAAATGGTTTACATACTATCCAAAAACCTTCAAAAAAAATCTCCAAGAAAGTGACAAACACACTAAATCTCTATAAGGAAGACACAGAGCATAAAAGTCATTGTGTACACTTCTATGGGCCAGAGAAACACAAACTTGCTTTTGTTTTTTTAACCAATAGATCTGTATTAATAATTGTTGTTCACAGAATATATTCTCAAATGAAATATCCTACAGTTATATGTTACCTAGATTTCTTGTTTTCTCTGTGCCCCGTACTCTTTTTCCTGCTTCTTTCATTTCTGCCTGGCAGCTACACAGATGGCTATAGCAGCTAATGAGCTGTTTAAGGAAAGAAATATCTGTCTTTACCCTTTATCCTCTTCTCTCCATCTCTCCAGCCCTGTGGTTCTCCATGACATGCCTTAGCATTTCAAGTATAGGCTCAGAGACATATCAGAGTTTCCACAAGGATTCAAGAGATGCTACACAGCAGTAAAAAACAAACTTGAAAAAGCCTCTAAGCAACAAAACCCCTTAAGTACAATTCCATTTGTTCTTATCTCCCAATACCTTGACAAACACCTGATGACTGCTATTTTTCAAGAAATCCCGTACTTCAGTTCCTCATTTATTCTCCATTTTATAAAATCTGGATTACTGTCCCTCTGTAGGGAACACAGCAGTTCAGGAACTGTAGAATCTATAAGCTCCCCTGCCTTAAGTATTCACATTTGTTTTTGTTTTTTTTAAAAGTAAAACAACTCTTACTTATTAGTGGTTTAATCAATGGCTTTCATTAATTGCATAGTGAGTTAGGACACAATGTTACTTGTTCTGAACTTCCAAAAATATATCTACCATCTGAATACTGACATGATGACTCCTATTTTGGCTCTGAGAGTTGTTTACATAATAATAAAAAAATGAATGCTGCTTTATCTTTCTTTAACAGCTTCTATTAATTGTATTATTTTATTTCCAAAGGCTGAAATGTGCTCTGGTTCATTTTTGAGTCAGTCCTTCAGAGAAGAAAGATCAGGACAATGAATGGCCTCGAAGGCAAGGGTACTTATAAATTCATTTCAGTTTTCAAATTTCTCTCTAACCTCATGATATGATTTAGCTGCATTCTCATTTTTTGCTGTTATTTTCATACAGACACTGG